TGGAAACCAAAAGTTCACTCATTTGGTATTAACACAGGCTAACAATCTTACTTTTCTTCAGCAGTGTCCCTGTGGGCTCAGATTAGCCTAGCAGACCAAACTAAAACACTAATGTTTGTGTGTTGGTGTTGTTGTTGTTGTTGTTGTTGTTGTTTTAATGTGAACTCATGTTAGCCCATACCTCTCTATTCTGTGTGTAATGTGCAGTTATAAAAAGGTTTAACCTAAGTGCTTAAGATTCTATTTATCTTTGTTAAATTTTATCTGTTTAATTCATTTCTCATGCTAGCCTGTTGAGAGTATTTTATATTTTGATTCCTTTGTCTAATAGATTAGGTGTCTCTGCAGGCCTTTAGTCTCAAATTCAGTAAGCGCTTGTTCTCTTTCCAGTCACAAAATTATAGAATTTTCTATCTAAAATGAACCCAAAATATCAATAATCCAGCCCCCTTGTCTTAAAGATAAGGAAACTTCAGTCCAGAGAGCAGGCTACATAACTCTCCCCAGTTATGCAGCTCATTGATGGAAGGAGGATTATGAGCTTATAAAAAGGACTGGTGAGCAGGTCTGTGAACCAAGTCTGAGACACATGTCATCACCAGAAGTCTTTGGTGGGTGCTAGAACATTCAACAATAAACTTGAGGTACAGTTCTCCAACTATAACTGAGGATGCATTATCTTTCATTCTATCCACGGCACTGACATACCTTGGTAAATCTTACAGACTTTAACACCTCAGATAAGAAATAAAGTTGCCTTAGAATGACTTGTTTTTAGTGACCCATACTGGCTACTTGTGATAGACTACAACCATTTTCAAGTAATTAGGAAAAAAAATTTTAATAAGCCAGTCCATTTTCTGGTTCGTGGTCTCTACAATCCTTCTGAAAAATTAGAACAGTTCCCCCACTTTCAGTCTTCTGATACCTCTTTTTCTATTCAGTACAACAAATTGGGTATTATATTTAAACACAAACAAACCCAGCCGTCTGAAACTTTAAAATGTACCTAAATAACAATTGAGCCAATGGACTATTTAGAAAACGTGTGGGAAAAACTGTGATGCTGTTGCTTTAATCAGATGCAAATGTATATCTTTAAATGCTTTTATTGGGAAAGGCAGGGAACTGAACAAGTGAATGAATGGATGAATGGATGAACGAACCAAGCATTCAACCTTTGGGAACACAGAAAGGAAATAATAAGAAAAATATAAACTAGCATATTGAGAAAGATAATTACAAATAAATGGAAAACTCTTCCTTTGACAAAAATATAAACAAGCATGTAACAAAATTTTACTGAAAAAGGAGTTAAGTAAACAAATATTAGATACTTAATATCAGACCTGAAAAACCAATCCATAGATAGAAAGGAAGAAAGCCTGAGGTGGTGTCAAAGCTTGGATAACAGGAGAGGAAAATCTCCGTGGCTGTGGAGAGTTTTTACAAACGTGATCACGTGATAATGTTCTGGGTTTTTGGTTTGTTTGGTTGGTTGGTTTTTTTAAGCTTTAGAAAAGTTTTAGAAGTTGAATGAAAACAGCTCATGCCTCTGGCAGTTTAAGAAGACATTGGAAACACTAGAAGCTCTTTCAGGAGAGTGTGGGTTAGAAAGTCAGGCGGTAAGAGATCAGGTGGGTGGCAAGAGGCAGCAAGAGTCACCCAGTTTTAGAAAGTGAACCAAAGGGGCCCAACAGTGAAGCCAGGTTGGGTTCTGATGCAGTTGTTTTGATGACTCTTGAATCTTCAGGTAAGTGTCCCATCGCTACTGATTTAACCTGCTAAATGAGGCTGTGCAAAAAGTAGGGTCTTGGCAACAATTTGAAGACAATCCCTCCTATATTGTACTATTTTTATTACTTAATAAGAGTATGTAGTAAATAATAATAATGAAAGACTTTGATTACACAAAATTAGTTACTCATTAGATTTATATAATGTCCTGTTAACTCCAGAGTCCTCTTACTATTTATTTCAGCAGTGTTTACACATTACACTCCATTGTTAATCCAACCCAGTACTCAGTGTCCATCAGATCTCTGACAAACGCATTAATTTTCATTGACTCAGCACACATGACTTAATAACGTACATCACAGCCAGTAAAGAATGCTGCTACAGATATTTAAGATCTGTGTTTAGCTACCTTTGGCCAAAAAATTATCATCCTGAAAAACAAACACACTATGGACAGCATGTTTGTCCTAGAAGTATATGTTTTACAGTTGTTTGTATCTGTAATAATTGAAGAGTCACCTTCAATAGTTGTTTTGAGAAGAAAATATTCTTCTGGAAGCAGTGGGTAGTGAATGAGGGGGGAAGTTGGTTAAAAACAAAAAATACCCAAAAAAGGAAAACGGTGTTCATCCCCTTTTAAGAGGTATTCAGATGAAAAATTGCTCGGCATGAGCTTGATCTATGTTTTTTGTGCTTATTAGTAGTAATGAAGATGCATTAACCATATTCTCTTGATAATGCTCTAGCAGTTTCTTAGTACTTTTATCAACATATAAATTTTACAGCTGGCAGTATGGGAATTTGACTAGTACATTTTTGTTCATAAAAAAGGGTAACGACATTTTAACTTCTTCATATCTGTGAATCATGAATCTTGCCTTCAAACAAGCAAAACTAAAATGCACCAAGACATGGGATTGCATGCAGGCTGCTGAGTGAAATACAGTGCCAGAGGTGAATGCCTTCCTAATCCACAACTTACGAGTTCTTTTCATTTCCTTCATTTATTTTTCAATAAACATGTATTGAGTGCCTTCTCTGTTGCTAAGCTGTAGTGTCTGTAAATTGAGAATGCCGTACTTCATTAGGAAGCAGCGGGAAACTGGAAGTAAGTGGTGTATAATCACGATATATCCTTATCTCCATTAGGAAACGTTATTTTCAACAATTTTTGGAAGGGCATGAAATAGCTCAGTTCTTTAAAGATAAAACTTGATACAAAAAGAATCATTTGAAAATTTTTTTCACATTTCGTGGCGTTGTAAATGAGCAACTCTTTCTCTTATAAAGCCGAATTCCAGGTTTTAAATTTGATTTGTCCTAGCTCCAAAGTAATGTTAAGTCTCCGATATGTAGCCCATAATATTAGCGAGTACCATTAAAGAAAAACTTGATGAAAGGAAGAAGCATAGTGTTCTCTTTTATTATAGGACTATGGATCAGTTCTATCTTAGAGCTGTATCTAGCAACACCAAGGATACAGCTGTTCTATAAAAGGTAGGAGAATTGCTATGTAAGAGCTGTCAGGTAGATCTGAGAGGAGGAAATGATAGTCAAATTCAAGTTGAATCAAGTAAATGTATCCCTCAAACTTGATTTTCGATCTCCTACTTTTATGGAAAAAAGAAGCAAAATGTGAGAAAATAAGCTTCTATTAATGATTTGGGCAATAAAAATACAAACTTTGGTATTGTTGTGGAGTGGGACTACCTCCTGCAACTAAAATAATTTATAATCGTAACTGGTCTTCAAGATAATAACCCTGAGATACTTCAAGGTTACGAATCATCTGGGAGGTAGTCATTCAGTTGACAAATGTTTACTTGGTGTCTTCTGTTTGCCAGATGGCTGTCACACAGGTGCTGGCAAACCATGGCAGCCGAGCGAGGAAGTGTATGAGAGGAGCGGCGGGTAAGGGGGTTAACCATTGACAAGGGTAGAATAAAATAAGAGTGAGCCTTCAGCTCTGCACTGTGGAGGTCATCCATGACTGGAGGAGTAGTTTTTGCACATTGGCAAGGAGGCCACAACCAGACCTGAGTGGGCCTAGGACCGAAGAAGCAGAAGTAGCACATAAGACAGCTTTTTGAAAAAATATGTCATGAGGAAGGAGGAGAAGTGGGATGGTAACTAGGAAGAGATGAGGGTTCACAGGATGAGTTAGCAAGGGCGCTTGTGTGAGCATGCACACGCACGCGCGCGTACACACACACACACACACACACACACACACACCATGGTTGTATGCTAATGGGAATGCCACTACAGAGAAGGAGAAAATGATTCAGGAGAGGAAGGTGCAAGGGCAACGATCTCAGGTCAGAGGATGGAATCCAGAGCACAGTGAGAGAGGCTGGCCATCGCTAGGAGCCGGGACTCTTCACTGTAGAGGTGGAAAGACTTCGACTACCTGGACGTGCAGCTCCCTTTTAACAAATATTTATAAAGCACCTGTTATACGCTAGGCAACAGCAGCAGAGCAGACAGACCAGAACCCCTTATCTCCGTGAAGCTTGCGTTCGAATGGGGATTGGAGGAGATGGACAAATAATAACCCATCAAATAGGATATGTAGTGCCATCAGGAAAAGTGAAGCAGGGCAGTGGGGAAGGAGGATGTGGAGAGCCGGGATGGTCGGGGTGGTGAGGGCAACTTGCAATTCTCAGGAACTGGGCGATTCTGTACAGCTTTTATTGAATTTACTTTGTGACTCTCAGACACGTTTATTTTTCAAAATCAGATTAAATGTGGCCTAATACCCACATGCCAGGGCTTGTGGGAAATCTGCTGTCGGCTTCATTTCACAGGTGCCGCCTTCTATCCAAGGCTTGCTGAGCCCTGGACGTCTCCTTTAGAGTCCTTATCACAGGCTTTAACCATGCTTTTTTTACGCGATTATTTAATATATTTCTTCCCTACTACACTGAAAACTCCAGGAGGGGAACTACGTCTGCTGTGGACAACTGCATCCCCAGAACCGAGCACAGTGTTAGCACAAAATAGGCCCCATTTGTTGAATGAATGAATGAATGAATGAATGAACAGTAAAAAGACTATTTTCCATAAGCCACCTCTCGAAGAACCTTATCGTTGTATTATTTTGTGATCACTTTTACGTTTTCACTTTTGCTTTGTGTAGCTGTTCCAGTAAATGGCCTTTTTCAAGCAGGTAAGGTGTGTTTTTATACCATTTGGAATATGTGACATAGAGTTGTCCTCTAATTTAAGTAATGTTTCTCCACCTAATTTTTTTTCTACAGGGCCAACGTCAAAGGTGCTCCCCTGAATATAAATAAGGTCTCTAATAGCCTGATAAATTTTGGAAGAAAGTTGATTTCTCCAGCAATGGCCCCAGGCAGTGCGGGTGGCCCTGTACCAGCGGGCAGTAGTGGGGGCTCCTCCACTGCTGTGCCTCCCACCAGGACCCTGGCAGAGGTCCCCAGGCATCCCCTGCAGCAGCAGCAGCAGCAGCAGCAGCAGCAGCAGCAGCAGCAGAGACTGATGAAATCGGAAAGCATGCCAGTGCAATTGAACAAAGGTAAGGAAATAATCATAATAAATCGAACGAAAACGCTCACAGTGTAGCCTGGGATTTCCTTACCTGCCTGTGAGGAACCAACCTCCTAGAGATAGAAATTAATGCAAAACCTAATTTTTAAAAATCTGTTAGATTCGTTTTTTTTTTTCAGTTGGAATATCAGATCCTGTGTCGTTTTTAATAAGACCATTTTATGAAGTAATTTGTTAGGTACTTCTTTAGCATCTATATCCTAGGATACGTGCATTCGAGTCCTCTGGATGCCCGTAGAGTGTGGCACAGGCTATCACAACACAGAACTTGAAAGCAGTTGATGCGATCTCTGCTAACGTGTAATGATGTATAGTCTGAAATGGGACGTTCCAAGAGCATGGGCTTCACTGGTTGTAGCATCCATCCGCGCAGCCGGTTTGAAGAAAGCGTGCTGCCCCTAGGCTTGCGGTCGCTCATCCAGCTGCTTTACCCATGAGCAATATGAACTGTACCCTTACGGGGAAGGCTAAACAGAATCTCTAGCAGCCAAAGTCAGTCTGTGAGTCCAGGCCCTACAATTTAGAGCCTTAGAATGCTAGAGCAGAGGAGACCTGGGAGACCACCTCATCCAAAGCTCTCATTTGACGAGCGGGGCCGCTGCTGGTGCTGCTACGAGTGAGGGGTGTCCTTGCCACCCAGCCTCAAGTAAGCGTGTGGTCTGTTTCCGGGCTTTTCTGGTGCTTCGTCTCCCGCATGTATTTAACTCGTAGGAGAGCCCTTCAGGTTCCTACTCAGAACCTTTATGCTCTTATTTTCCACTCTTCAGAGACCTATATATTAAGTGCCCCTGTTCACAGCAGATTAGAAACAGCTGCATTTATTTTTAGTGGTGGGACTCTGCTATCTATACTATAGAAGCAAGAAATAGGAACGTGATGGCAGAAAATCTACAGAGTTCAATCCTAAGACCTCACAAAGCACAGAGCCTGTGGCCATTCAGTTGTCAGGGCACAAATAGCCTGACCCATGCCTCATTCACATCTTAAAGGGACCCTTGTTCTAGCCGTGTTCGATGACCGGTGTTGACAGCAACCACAGTAATATTGAATCAGTTAGAAGACCTTAAACCATGTTCCCATACACTCTGTTTAAGAAGATTGCATCTAAAATGGTTAAAAATTTTAAATTCTTGGCATTTAAGCTGGCAGACTTAAGTGGACTTTATTCCCCAATGGCACAAAAATAATGAGTATTGAATTCACTAACGAGTGTGTGCATGGTTATTCTTCTGTCAGTTACAGGGTATTATCACCATTGCCTATATGAAGTATTAGACTTTGTATAGTTAGTATGTAAGTTTCTGTTAGAATATTGAGTTTGCCTTACACAGGAATGTCTCGTGTAAAACTACATTCTTTTCTTTCCAATGTAGCGTTGTCACACATGATTGAAAGAAAAGGAGACTTCAAATCATTAACACATTGTAAATGTATTTTAATGCCAGGAGACATGCCCACTTTCAGAATGGAAATGAATGTTATTTTCAATATTTCTTAATTGTACTGTTTTATTGTTCCAACCAAATATGATTTCAGTATTGCTTTGATAACAAGCCATAGTCAGTAGTAATTCTAACTGATGGCAGGCAAATGAGTCAGAGAATCTCTTAATGCTGTAGCTTAAATCTTCAGAGGAACCAAGCCAAATGACTATAGAAATATAAAGTTGTATCTCTAAGGAAATGTCAAGTATTAATATCACAGTAAGTGAGAAGGAGGCGCACGAGGATGGAACGACTGATGAAAACGAAGTCCCCAGTTAGAAGGAGACAACAGAGCACTTAAGCAAAGTACTTGGAACATGAGTATCACTAGGGCATTTTGTAACTGATCCCCGTGCTGAAAGAATGTCTCCTTGTGTGGCAGCTCTTCTTTTTCTTTCTGGTTCATTCTCCTCGTGTCAATCACGAAAAGCTTGTCTACCTTCCTCTTAAAGATAAACCTTCCTGCAAATGTCCCTCCCTGCATAAGGATTTGAATGAAACGGAGTAAAAGGCGAACAGTTGATACAAGTAGAAACCAGCTAGGTTGCTGCTCCCTCTCACTGACTTGCCCATGAAATGAACCGTAAGCACAGTCCTGAAGCCTTCTGACCATGTCTCCTCGCCCTGAAATAAGAGGTGTGGACTGCTCCCTGGGGAGCCTCCCAGCTCCAAACATCTGTAAAGATACACTGGGTAACGCTACAAGGAAAAAATACGTCTCCAGCATTCGTTCTTTATGCTGGTGTTTCCCACAAGTATCCCGCTGTGCTGTGACAGTGACAGATCTGCAGCTGTGTCACCTGGTCCCAGAGATTGGTGAGCACAGTACGTAGCCTGTCGGGAGGCTTGCGTTGGAATACGGCTTCTTACTATCGCAGAATAGAGTCATCTACTTAGGGCCTTTGAGGAGAGAGAATGTAATAGCCTTTGTAGTGTCCTCTGCCGGAAAATTTGAAAGTTGCTTTGAATAATGGCTGTTAGTAAAGATGAAAATGCTTGTGGTTTTCGTAGGTTACTTAACTCTCGAATGTTTATGCTTCCGTAGGATGAGAGTTGTATGGAAAACCCAAAATTCATTATGTGTTGCTGGGAACGCAAAGTGTAGTTTGTGTATGTGTTGGGAGTCGGGTCGTGAAAGAAAGAAGAGGGCGCGCAGATATTCCTCTGCTACTTTCTGGTGATATTTAATACTAAAATGAGTTTTCAGTGTCTAAATTATACACTAATAGGTAATCCAGAAGCAGCAGAGAAAAGTGGGTAACAGGCACAGAATTGAAAATCCCCTTCAAATAAACAGAAGATAGGCATGCCATTTATCAGTGAACAGAGAGGTAACTGTATTATGAAAATTCAGGACCTGATAAGTTCCGTTGAAAGCTGGTTTGGAGTGTGTACCCATTTATAGATTTCATTTCAGTTACAGGAGATATAGATACACATATATAAATGCATGTACTGTTAATGGATGGGATGATAGGATTACAACCCAGTAATTTGCAGATAAGCTGGCTGTGCTGTCAATTATAATTGTAGCAAGTGGTCAAAACACTTGAGGGTATGTTGTATAATTCCAAAATTGATTTGCTATTATATGAAAGGTACAGGGCAAGCAAGTCTATTAATCCTGCATTATTAAACCTGGAAACTACAGTGTCTTTGTAGAAGACTTGGATTTTAGTTTATGAATTTCACAGTAACTTAGACCTTCAGATGCTGATACAGCCAGAGGATTAATTCTGTTGACAGTGACTGTGCCTAATGTTGAACTTGGCCAGGAAGGAAGAAATCAGAGAACCGAAAAGCCTTCCTTCTAAATGGGAGTGTACCTCAAGTTCTTCACAGAATTTCCTGTTCTCCTTTTCCTTTCTCTCCTGTACTTTTAGAATGCACTCCCTCTTTCCCCATTTCCTTTGTCTATTTTTTGAAGTTGAACGCTTCTTTATTTTAAGCATTTACCATAGGTCCAATTTGTGAATGAAATCTCGCCTATCATAAGTATATCAAGTTTAAAGGGTGTGCAGTTCACAGATTTATTTTTACATGTTGACATTTATAAGTACATGTGGTAGCTTATGAAATCTTTTCAGTACTTAACTATGAAATTAGAACTTGTTTAGGTATTTATCTTATCACTGTAGAAACTGGTGTCAAGTTTAGTTAAAAATAATTTCTCTCTGTTGTAGGAGGAAATGCGTTTCAAAAAAATGCCTGCTTTGTAATAAATGCATATTTACTTTTGGATAAAGAATTTTTTTTAAGAAAGAAAATATGAAACCACATTACTATTTGTAGCATAATTAAACCTCAGAAAAATCATTTGATTTCTCAAGTTTCTTATGTTTTAGACTAATAGAAACTTGTTTTTTTCTTGAAGAAAAATATTCACAGAAACCTTTTAGGAAATACTTTTAAAAAATTAATTCCTTTAAAAACTATTTTATATTAATTTTTCTAAGATTGTATTTTGTTTTACTGTACCTTTAGTAATTAGGTTGATAAAAGTATTACATTAAGTATGAAAAAAAGTAAACTTGATTTTTTTTCCTTTTTATGAAATCTAATTATTTTTTCTTATGAAATCCAGGCGATGTAGTTACAGGAAGCGATGCTCAGGTTTCTGTTCCTGTCCAGACTCTAACTGACCTCCAAGGTACAGTTACCATGGCAACGTAGTATATCTTTTTGCCTGCAGTATTATCATTGCCTTCTCCAAAATTCCATTTTTCTTTTTGCCCACCCTCCATTCATACTGTTGATCAGTTCACTACCATTGTTCAGCCGCTGAGTGGCACTGTTGTTTAGAACAAGAGTCCCCTCTCATGTCATACCTTGGTGATGCCAAATCTGGCTATGATGTGGTTTTTATGAAGTTTACACCAGCCTCTTTTCTTGCCAAATATGGTCAGTCTATATTTTGTGGTTATTTTAACACTACACTTTATTTGGAAGCTCACACTGAGGTTTTTTTTTGTTTGTTTGTTTGTTTTGTTTTTTTATTTCATAGGTGCTCTATGGCAGTATTTGACAAATCAGTTCTCAGATTACATGACTTAAATGCTGTTTTTATGCATATTATCATATGTACTAGCCAGAAATATTTACTATATTTTACCTAAAAGAATTACAGCTTGATTTTGAAATAAGTTTTTAAGTACAGGCTTTGTATTATGAATCATATTAACAGTGCAAGAAATCTCCGTATGTAATTGGCAATGATTTAAAATAAAAAGATCACATTTAAATACCATAACCGCTTATTCAAAATCTGTATTCCAGGAATACAGAAATAATAGCAATTCACATTTAGCACCTCCTATGGAATTTTAAAATGTATAAATATTAAAGTTGCTGCATTAATCTTTTATTATATAATCTTTTACATAAAATGTGCTGTAGAGAGGATTTCTGTATTAAGTGGAAGCCTAAGCTAATCTTAAGAATCTTCCATTCAAATTCAGATTGAAAAGATAGCAGTATAAATTAAAATTCATAATCTCATCTTCCTAAATTTAAAATATCCACATAATATAGTCATGTTCCTAGTATCAAAATGCTGTTCTAATAATGATATGTCTTCATACTATCTGTGCTTTTTTATAAATTTACAAAAAACAATATATTGTGATTAGGAGAATGAGTGGTGTATTGGCTTCTTTGAAAAATGTTGTGGCAAAAGAAGGAGGAGATCTTACTTCTATATAGTTCTGTTTCACAGGTACAGTTTCTGGCTGTATTCAGGTAATTAAACCCTGACCTTTAAGGGCTTTTTCAACTTGGTGATTCCATGAAGAGCTGCTGTTTATCTTTCTTAGTGTCTAAGTGATCCATATTAGAAAGGGGTGCAGTAGCAAGGACAAAAAAGGGGTGCAGATAATCTCCAGATGATTTCTCTTAAGGTTTGTCATTTACTGTACTTAAATGAATATTACTGTGATCATCTGATATGGTGAGAATTCACAGGACTTCAATTGATTTCCTAAAATTAAAATCTGACCTCCCCCAGGCAACGTTTTAAAAAAAAATTTTTAATGTCTATTTATTTTTGAGAGAGAGAGAGAGAGAGAGAGAGAGAGGGAGAGAGAGGGAGCAGGGGAGAGGGAGAGAGAGAGAGAGACACACACACGGAGATGGAGGCACAGAATCCGAAGCAGGCTCCAGGCTCTGAGCTGTCAGCACAGAACACGACGTGGGGCTCAAACTCACAAGCTGTGAGACCATAACCTGATCCAAAGTTGGGTGCTTAACCGACTGAGCCACCCAGGCACCCCTGGCATCTTTTTAACAAGTGTTTTGGTATCCCAAATTTAGTTTGGTCACTTTTTAAGTTAGTTTACTGCAGAGTAGATCCTTGGCTGTGGAATCTCAATTTATACCTATGGAAAGAGAAAGGTGAAGGCTGTCTGACTTACTCTGATTTCTGCTTCTATGCTATTGCTCAATCTATTTTTTCCTACAGGCCAGAGCCACAAGAACAGTTTGCATTTTTAATAGAATCTTGCAGAGGGAGGTTATATCATTTTGTTCAGATCTCTTGTGTTATATAGGTAGAATCATCTTATTCATTTATTCACCAACTATTCGCTGAGTGCTTACTATGTGCCCAAGCTCTGTTCTCATTGTTCTCTTGGCTTTCCCGCTTTTTTTTTTTTTTTTTTTTTTTTTTTTTTATTTACATGGTTGCTTGGGCATCAGCCTGTGCATTAGATAACCCAGGCAAGCCTACACAGTCAGGAACCAGCTCTTTTCTGGATACCCAGTTCAGAATTCCTCCTGCCTACCATGCTATGACAGAGATTGTATCAGTCTGATAGAGAAGGCTCCAGCCACTTTATGAGACATGGAGCCCAAATAATAAAAAGCTTTCAGTATGTCATGATGATAGTGACAATGATGATAAGAAAATAAGACTAACCTGCCCTGATTTGGAGAAGTCACTTTGTGTTTTCCTCAACATACTTCCTGCACAGTGTCAAAAAGCAAGGGGAAGTAAAAGTCAACCAAAATAGTTACTGGGGGCAACAAAAAAACTTTCTAACAATCTATACTTAATAGGATCAGTAATATTAGAAGTTGAAGAACTTCATCAGAGGGGCCACACCCATTATACTCTCCTATATAATGTTTTCAGAGTAGATATACTTGTAAGGGAGATGAAACTATCATTTTGACTTTCCCAAGTATGTTTTTTCAAATGGAGTAAGTTTTAAGAAATGAAGTAAATAACAGCACTTTCAGTGATTCTTTGATTATGTTTTTTCATGAGATCATATTTGTATCTTTGCCTTTAAACACACAATTATATGTGTTTTATTTAATTTTTTTTTTTTTCTGGAGAAAAACTGACTATAAAATGAAATCCCACAATTTAAGTCAATAAATAGTTTTTGGAAAATTGTTGGGAAGTTCCATTTTATATCTCTCAGTATGGGTTGTACTCATAAAAAAATGTGCCATGGGAGAATTTGTTTTTGAAGACTTAAAGAATTTCTTGGAAATTAGATTTGGAAATTGCCCGGCTGCCCCAGAAACTTTTCAAGAGATATTTAGGAACCGCAGAGCTTTAAAATAGGAGTACACACACAAACACACACATGCTTACAGAGCTTACTTCCAAAGAAAATTTAGAATTTCCAACCAAAGTATACAAGTATTGTCACTTAATGGATCATTAGGGGAAAAATTTAGATTTCTTAAGTTATTGCCATAACCATTTAAAAAAAATTTTAATGTTTATTTTTAAGGGTGAGAGAGAGACAGAGTGCGAGCAGAGAAGGGGCAGAGAGAGAAGGAGACACAGAACCCAAAGCAGGGTTCCAGGCTCTAAGCTATCAGCACAGAGCCCAGTGCAGGGCTCACACCTACGAACCATGAGATCATGACCTGAGCCCAAGTCGGACGCTTAACCAACTGAGCCACCCAGCACCATTTTTAATGTTTATACTTGTGTGTACATATTTATGTTGCAGATACAAATATATATACATACGTACATCCACACATAGATATCACTGTATAACATTGATCAGGTTTTTTTAAAAAGGAGGGGGGGAGGTCAAAAATCTCCCTGCCCAGATAACCACTGTTGACATTCTTAAGGTAAATCTAAAACACATACAACATTTGACCATCCCAATTAATTGAAGTCATTAAATGGGAAAAAAAAAAACAACACACCTCTCTCTTTACTCCTCCCACTGGTTTCTGCCAACCCATTTCCCTAAGGGTAATCACTGTTAATTTTTTTATAATTCCTTCTAGGAAAAAAATAGATTTTAAACTGAGGAGTAACGTGCAAGTCACATTAGCGCAGTACCAGCTCACATGTCGGGAGAGGACTCCCCTCTGGACCTTCAAGAACAAAGAACTAAAACAAATGCCCTAGTGCAACAAATTGGTAGAACAAAGAAAAGAGAGGCCGAATTAATTAGAATAGGACACAGTAACGATGGGACAAAGAACGCCTACTCACAGGAGTGAGAGGAGAGACTGAGAAGCCAAAAGCTATCCTCGTGAATGACCCTATGTTGGCCACTGTGCTTGTTGTTGAGAAATGATAGTCGTGAAGCAGGACAAGCAGTTCCATTATGTTCTGGATAATCACTCTAAGAAGGAAGGCAGAGAAACACGATACGTAAAACAAATCTGGGGAAGCATCAGTTAGCTAGAAAATGCATTTTTGTGGAAAACTTATTCCCAAAAGACATTGAATAAATGACTTTTTGGACTGAGAACAAGGACAGAATTTGCCCTTTACTTTCAAAAAACCTCATTCCATTTGTCTTTAATCTTAGGTCACATGTGCGACAGCGCCCCCCGCACAGCCTTATTGGCAGGGGAGGGGAAGGCAGACTGGTACAACTCTCCCAGCATGGGCTCTGGAGTTGGGTCCAGGTTTGAATTCTGCCTCTACCACTGCCTTGCTGGATGATCTAGGGAGGTCACTTAACCTGTTATCTGAGAAGAAAGGAAAAGAACAGCTGCTTCTGGGCTGGTCGTGGGAAGTTACCACCGTACCTGTGCTCCGTAAGGACTCACGGGTGCTGCCTGCTCAAGTGGCAGTGATGAGGGGAGCACTGTTATGTGTTTTGTTTTGTTTTGTTTTGTTTTCCAAATACCTCTGGTTTTCAGAATCAAGTTCTGAAAGAGCCAACTCAACTCCTCTATCTTTTCTTTTTTAATAATTATTTCTGGGGTGTCTGGGTGGCTCATTTGGTTAAACATCTGACTTCGGCTCAGGTCCTAATCACACAGTTTGTGAGTTTGAGGTCCGCCATCAGGCTCTGTGCTGACCGCTCAGAGCCTAGAACCTGCTTTGGATTCTGTGTCTCCCTCTCTCTCTGCCCCGCAACCCCCTCAAAACTAAATAGACATTAAAAAAAATTTTTTTAATAATTATTTCTGACATTCTATAACCACATGTTTGCATGTAGGCACTGGATCCAACAATGCTTAGACTCTGTGGTCAGACTAGAGCAGGTCTGTTTCCAGGGGTTTCATTTACAACCTTCCATTCACTCTCCCGTGACACCAAGATGTATGTTTTTAACGCATAAACATCAGCCCTCTTGCTGTCTGTCACTCAAGTCTGTGAGGTGACAAAATATTACCAGAGAGGGGACACATGCCTCTCGTTTTCTCCTGGGTCATTGAACAAAGTCAAGGCCACAGCACTTTTTCCCTTTTTGCTCTTCTGAGCTGTGCCACCCCACCAGTGACCTCCCCCACCCCAGATTTCCTAGCCTTCTGAACATGTTACCTTTGGAGGTCCTGTGTCTAGCTCCTCCAGCTGGTCTCAGGTTCTTGCCTGTCCATTTAGGAATATACCCCAGCCCCTGTTCCTATTTTCCATTGAGTTGAATGAGAGAAAAATCACAAAAATATTATTCACGGGACATAGTAGGAGCTTAATAAATACTTTCTCCCCTTTCCCCTTTCTTCCTTCCCAGCCATTCTGTAGTCAGGGCTCTTCATGATGCCTTTGAAGCTCATTCAGGCAGCCTGGGCTCTTGACAAATAACCTCCACTGATAAGTAGCACATGGGATGCAAAACTTTTATTGAATGTTTCAGAGAGGAAAAGAGAATGAAGGACAGATTTAATATGCCTGGACACAGCCACAGCTAGTCCAGATAACACCTTAGTGCCCTTTAGAAAAAGCTACCCCTTCTGTGCACATGCAGCTCACACCAGGGCACCCATCTTAGCAAGCAGAACAGTAGAGCGGGGCCTGGATTCCCGCTGTCCCACTAGGCAGGTGCTCAGGTGTGGCGGATGTGGCAGTCCTCGGCTCAGCTAGTTCGCCAAAGTCTGTGGGAGGTGCCGCTCAAGTGAGACTAGTCCTAAGGGGAGAGGACTAGCAAATCTGCAGCCCACAGTAACTGCATATGAAACTACCTGCTTTAGATTTGGAAGTCACCACTATGCTAGTAATGCTTTATGTCTGCTGACTACTTAGCATATCGCCTGGGATCCTAAGCCACCCTGAGCCTTTTATACCCATTACCCACTTGGGCTACAAAGCATGTATGAAGTAGGTGTCTCACTTATAGATGAGAATCGTGGCTAATGGAGGGGCAGTGAATTGTTGATTCAGCTAGATACCCGCTAGATACCCGCTGGGCTTAGACTCCAGCTTAGGTGTGTCAGACCCAGCAGGTACTGGTTTGAGGAATTCTGCCTTGTAAACATCTCTCAAATCTACCACCACAGCCTTAGGTTCAGCCCTCGTAATCTCATGTGTGGGCAGGCGCAGGAGATGCCTTGGTCAACCAAGCTCCTCTAATCCTCATGCTACTTTCTTCCTTAAAATCTGCAGTAACTCTCATCATCTACCGACAAGGTAAGGGCCAGACCCTTCAGCATGAGAACAAAATGCTCTTTCTGATCTACCTGGCCCTGTTTAGATCCTCACCTTCCCTCGCTCCTCCGTCCCCACTATGGCTGGATGACCAAGAGGGAAAATAAGCTCACATGTAGGGTACCAGCAGCTTTTAGGAAGAACTTCCTTGATTCTCTCCTTTTCCCAGAAGACCATTGAAATCGTCATCGAGTGCAAAAGAAGCACTCTGTTGGACTAGTCTTATTTTACACTGGTATTGGTGTCATTTTCAGTTACATATAGATGGCAGGAAGCTCCAGAGGATTCAGGCAAGCTCTGATTGAGCTAGACGTCCCCAGTAGCATTTACCAGTTGCCTTCACAAATACCGTGTTCTCTGCTAAAAACGACCCACCCCGAGCCACTGAGGCCACTGCCGCCACCACCGCCGCCACCCTCTCTTCAGGTGTGAAGACGGAGCACACACTTCTGATTGCCTGAGACAGGCTCAGTTGCTCTCTCTTTTGTGCTTCCAGAGTACTGTTGTTTACACTTCTGTGTTTGCTTTTCTCACCTAGGATTGTAGGTTAGTTAGTGTACATAGAGGTGTGTATTTCCCTGGTACTGCTATTGGAGCTCTCTGAGAGCTCCTGTTGTGGTCATCCCTCATCCTTAGTGCTGGACAGTTTCTGCAGACATTCCATCCGATCCATCCGCATGGGGCTTGTTCCGCGGTGTTTGGTTATGAATGAAGAATATGTGCATGCCTGAGGTAGCCTAAGAATTTGGTCTTTATTTGGCATATTTAAAAATGCCTACAATCTAAAACAATTCTAAGTAACTGTCGTGAGTCAGAATTTCTGAGAAATAAACTATGAGACAAAGATTTATGGGTAGGAAGCTTTAGGCGGGGCCGGAGGGAGGGGGGTGCTGTCAAGATCAGTATCTGGGGAGCAAAAGGAGCAGCAGTGAGCTGAGGAGGAGTGGAAATGCTTTGCAGTCGTGGCTGGAACCTCTGGGGCCCTCTGGGACCGGGCTGGCCCTTCAGAATAGTCTGCCTTGAGGCAAGAGGGCCAGCCTTTATCCTCTGTCACCCCACCCAGTCCCTAGATTGGAGCTAATCCCAAGGGAGGGTACATGACCTTAGAGCAGCTGTCTTCAGCTGAGGGCCACTTCCAGAGAAGAACTCATGGCCACTTCCAGAGAAGAACTCGTAAGAACCCTCATCAGTCAGCACTCCCCATGGCTGGGGAATAGTGCCTTGGTCCCACAGGGGGCTTGGGCGGGTCACCACAGCAGTACACTTCAGAATGTGCCTCCAAGAATAGGCTTTAAGTTTCAATGCAGCAGAAGAAATTGTTAACGTTGTTCCTATCAGTTAAAAACTTGAAAAGGTTTATAGAAGGCTTCAGAACCACTGTGCAGCTTACGGGCTAGAAGCCCGTTGAAAATCCTGGCAACTTGCCTCGGGAGCTGTCCAGGTGAGGCCTGGGTGATGGAATGGCTCATCCATTTGCCCAGTGTGCCAGCCCAGTGTTGTCATGTTCTGTGTGTGCAGGGCATGAGGAGGACAGAGAAGTGTAATAGTCCTTTCTTCTATCTCAAGGCAAGACCACTTCTGGTGCCTAGGCTTTTCCTTCAGATCTCCAGATGAAGTGCTCCATCCTTTGGGAACATGTTCTAGTGACTCCATTTTCTTAAGGTCTAAATGTTTACGTTCCCAAAGGGGATGAAAATGTTAGTAAGCTAATTTCTGTAATTAAGGGGAAATCGTGCAGGGATTTTCTGTGAGATATAGGCCAGTTAGTACTTTATCCATACTATCACTAACTTGGAATTTGATAATTCAGAGATACATTCTAAGAGGAGTTGACCTTAGGGTTATCTCTGAGAAGGTCATTTGCCAAGCAGAGTGATAGCTGCTGGGGATCACAGGTGTCCCCACTGTAGTGTAAGGAAAGATCTAGAAAGAGGCCCTGTGAGCCAGCACCTTATCCCATTTTTCAGATGCTTCTACCGTAGGCGGGGGCTGGCCACGTATCTGTTCTGCAATTAGTGAAGAGGAAAGAGGCTCTTTTGAAAAACTGCTGAAGGATTTATATTTTTTAATATTAATATAATATGTAATATAATCATTTCTGGTGTCTGTCACTAAGGGTGATTCCTTTAATGAGGGAAAATCTAATTATCTAACCTGTCATTTCTCAAAATGAGATCTTTTAGCTGTTTTTTTTTTTTTGATGTGTGCAACACTTAGACAATTATAGCATAAATTACATGTGGAAAAGTATGGAGGCACTTCATTGTTTTTTTACAAATTGGCAGCTTTTTTGCTACATAAAATGAGTGCATTTTAACAACTCCTCGGTGTCCTTATGTTGACAGTGCGAACAAAGATGTACAATAATTGATCCTTTGTTAAAGGCAGTGAATAAAGTAGCTTTAATGAAAAAGTCTAGTGATTCATTATCGCCTCTTAATTTTTCTTACAGGACAGAGTTCTAAAACCATCAGCTCATCCCCGAGCACTGAAAGTTTGCCTGGAGGAAGGGAATTCCCTGGCTCCCCACCTTCATCTGCTACTAAAAAGGACTCCTTTTTCAGCAACATCTCCCGTTCCCGCTCACACAGCAAAACTATGGGCAGAAAAGAATCTGTAAGTATTTAAGGACAGTTTTTCTTTTATCCTTCATTTTCCTGTAGAGTGCTGCGTTTATTAAAACTTGTTTAGGGCTGAGTTCTAAAAAGCTCTTCACAGGACTACAAACTAAAATTAATACTTTCATCAAATTATTTTAATTTTATGATTATCACTTAGTAATATTTTAAGGCCATGGCCTGCATTCCACTAGGAGGAAAAAAGTAGCATCAGTTTAAAATAAGTGGAATCCCAAATCTGCCCTTTCTTCCTCTGCAAATGCTTTTTTGTCAAAGCCTAGGTTTTTTTTTTTCTAGAACGTATCAAATAGCATTATACCAAAAAATAGATGAAGACACTTATAAAACAAACCAAGATGGATTTTTTTCAGTTTTATTTCTTGAGAAGTAAAATTAATTATTTTACCTCCTGTTTTGAAAAGTTATACAAATTACATTTAAATGATGGCATATTGCATATTGATAGCTGCTCTCGAAGGTCCTTTGTATACGTTGTTCAGGACATATCTAGAGCATATCAACCACTTTAAAAATCTGGTTGTGTCTGAAAAGATTTTTTTTAATTTTTTTTTTTACATTCAATTTTGAGAGACAGAGACAGAGCACAAGAGGGGGAGGGGCAGAGAGAGAGAGGGAGACACAGAATCCGAAGCAGGCCCCAGGCTCCAGGCCATCAGCACAGAGCCTGACAGGGGGCTCGAACCCACAAACCGTGATATCATCACCTGAGCCGAAGTCATACGCTTAATCGACTGAGCCACCCAGGCTCCCCTCGTTGTGTCTGAAAAATTTTTTCAGCCAACTTCACAAAAAAATAAAACATTTAGCCACATCTTAGAAGTAGTTCGACACTTAATATTCTACTATTCTACTGTCTGGACAGTTAGGGCCGGTAAAAGTAAACCCTCAAGGAAGAAGAAATCAAGAGAAAAGATAACAGCAACAAACACTTGGTACTTGTGAAGCAGATGTTAAGTGCTAACTAACTTAGCAGCCTAAGAAAGCTGACCACTAAGTCAGCAGTAGGTAAAAGCCAAGAAGCAACTCAATTTACATTGTAAAGTCCTCTGGAAGCTTAGGAACTAGAAATGGAGTCAAGTTGGGACTTGCTCTTCCAGAAACAGAGGGATGGATGAAATAGGTGATAGGGGTTAAAGAGTACACTTGTGATGAGCACCGGGTGATGTATGGAATTGTTGAATCACTGTATTGTATACCTGAAACCAATGTAACACTGTATGTTAACTATACTAGAATTAAAAGGAAAAAAAAGCCGCCATTGCCGCCACCGTCTTCTTCTTCTTCTTGTCCTCCTCCTCCTCCTCCTCCTCCTCCTTCTCCTCCTCCTCCTCCAGTAAGCAGGCAGAGAGAGAGAGAGAGAGAGAGAGAGAGAGAGAGAGAAAATCTTAAAAAGGCTCCACACTCAGCACGGAGCCTATCACAGGGCTCAACCTCCCAGGGCTTGGCCTTGGACTCTGAGCTCATGACCTGAGCCACAACAGGAGTCAGATCCTTAACTGACTGAGCCACCCAGGTGCCCCCAAATTATAAATTTTTAAAAACACACAAATTCCTGACTTTAGGTTCTCCAGGTAAACAACCAGTTCACTTTACAGTGAACCCAACCTCCACAGCCCTGCCCAAACACAGAGCTTTCTTTTAGCTTTTGGTTCACACTGTACATGAGCATGACAGCCAGCGATCACTAGATACTTGAGAGCATGTGACAGTTAAAGACAGGCAAAAACAAATAGAAGAAAGCAACTGGGAGAAAAGTGTTTATTCAGGAGAAGAATGCTTCAGGAAAAAAAAAGAAGGAAAGAAAATATTCAGAGGATAACAACAAAAGCTATTAGAAATCAAAATATGATATCTGAAATGTAAGGCTCAGTAGAAGAGTTGGAACTGATAAAATTGAGGAAATCTCCCAAGAAAATGGAGTACAAGACAGAAATGGAAAGAGATAAAAGAAGAAATATTAGAGAACCAACCTCAGAAGTTCAAAATGTGAAAAATAGAAGTTCCAGACAACAGAGAAAATGAAGGAGATAACAAAAAAATACAGTTAATTAAATGTTCCACTAATGAAAGACCAGAGTTTTCAGATCAAAAAAATCCATAGACTCATATGAGGACTTTAAGAGACAAAACAGATGAACATAAGGGAAGGGAAACAAAAATAATATAAAAACAGGGAGGAGTGCAAAACAGAAGAGACTCATAAATGGAGAACAAAACTGAGGGTTACCGGAGGGGTTGTGGGAGGGGGGATGGGCTAAAGGGGTAAGGGGCACGAAGGAATCTACTCCTGAAATCATTGTGGCACTATATGCTAATTTGGATGTAAATTTTAATAAATAAAAAATAAAACAAGTTAATAAAAAATCCATAGAAAGTCTCACACAAGTAAAAAGAAACCCACAGCCAGACACGTCACTGAAGAAGTTCAGAACTCTGAGAGCAAAGAACTCTGAGAACAAAGAGATATCCTCCAAACTTGGAGAGTTGAGGGAAAAGAAAGATTTCCAACAAAGGATCAGGAATTAGAATAACTACAAATTGCTCACAGCAACACCAGCAAGGCAGTGGAGGAATACCTTTAAAGTTCTGAGAGAAAATTACTTCCAGCCTAGATCCAATACCTAGCCAAACTAATTAAACGTGAGATTAGAATTAAGCTACTTTCACATATTCAAGATTCAAAAAATTTATCCTCATGCACCCATTCTCAGAATCCACTGGGGGATGTGCTTACAGAAATGAGGACATACACTGAGAACAAGGAAACAGAGTGTCCAGAGCAAGACAAAAAGATTCCTCAGAATGATAATATTAGGAGATCCCAAGATTACGTATAGCACGGCTATTTAGCAGGTCGAGAGAACAGCAGCTAACCCAGGTTGGGGCAAGTCAGAAGGTTCAGAAAGTTTTCTCCACAAAGATGATGTATTTGGGAAACAACTAATGTATTTGAACAAATTAAAAGATTTAAACTAGGGGTGAATTGGGGTTTGACTTAATACCTTTATAAAAACAAAGCCATTAAAACACAGGACAGTGGTGCCTGGTGGCTCAGTCAGTTGACTGACTTGGGCTCAGGTCATGATTTCATGGTCCATGATTTCGAGCCCCGTATCAGGCTCACGGCTGGTCAGTTCAGAGCCTGCTTCGGATCATCCGTCCCCCTTTCTCTCTGCCCCTGTCCCGCTCCCGCTCTCACTCGCTCTCTCTCTCAAACATTCATAAATATTAAAAACACACACATGGGACAAATTGTAACTCCAAAGGAAAACAGGGTGTCAGAAAAAGGAAGAAAGGTTACGATAAACCTTGTAACTGAGCCATGACTAAAATTTACGTAGACATGATAATGAAAGCCTATTGACTACAGAGCTCATCAAAATCATGATAAAATTGGTTAGTAGACCTAAACAAATCATTTTCTTCCTTAGTGGAAAATACTGTCCAGAAAAATCAAGAGACGGCAATATAAACTAGAGATACCGAGATAAAAAAAAAAAATGGGTAAAAGAATTGAAAGTGGTTCCTTCTGGAGCAGGAAGTGGAGGGTGGGGCTGTGTGAACTGTTTTTCATAACAGGCCTTCTCGAACCATTTGACTTTTCAAGGTGTTACATATATAACTTAGATTAAAAATAATAACTAAGAATCACAACAAAAACAGAATGTTTTGGCATCATAAATTAGAAGAGATATCCGCCTGTACAGAGAACATGTCTATGAAGAAGCGGAATAAGGAATAACAAATGAAAAAGGCATATGGAGACACGTTCCATTTGCACTCTGTCACAGTTTGGTGGCATATGGATTAGTCGACAACACCAATTAATTACTTTTCTTTATGGTGATAACTGTAACTTAAAACTGAGACGTCAGACAAAAATAGAACTAGAGTAAGTCTCACTCTTTACATAGACCTGTTATGAACCAAAAGCAGAATGTAAAATTATTATTCAAAATTCAATATATTTTCTAACTTGTGGGAAGTAAGTAGGCAGGAATTTTCAAGAGAAAGCCCCTGATTTTTCAAGTAATAGATTATCTTATTATTTTATGAAATAATGTAGTCCGTGCTCTTTGCCAGGTCACACTATCTGCCCCCCCCCCTTCTAAGGTGCTTGATAGGATCGCACCTCCTTGTCAGAGCCACGTGACTGGTTCTATCCTGGGAGTTGTAAATGAAAATGACCTGTGCGTATTGCCACCACTGGATCTTCCTGAGCCCTTTCCTTTGCCCTGCCACGCCTTGGGAGACGTGAAGTATGAGTGAGAAATAACTTTTGTTGATTTATGCTGAGACTGTTGCTTATCATAGCCTAACTGTACACAGGTGGAAAATGCTCAGGCCCATAGCTAGGACTCGTCCTCCCACGGGAGCCACGTACCGCCTTTGCCACTGGTGGCACCAGAGCTTATGACTGGACACATGTCATCCCTTGAGCCTATATTGCTTTCATTTTCAGCCCAGCTTGGGATAATATAGGGACATTCCGTGTCTTCAGAAAAGTTGAAGATTGCTTTTCGTTAACATCGTCAGCATCAGTTTCTCACATAAGCAAGTAGCCAGAAATGGAAGCAAAGATATGTCTTGCTTTGGCTCCCCAGTGCCTTAAACTATATGTACCTTGCAGATTTCAAGACTCCGTTGATCTTTTAAAGTGGCCCAGGATCAAGAAATTGTTGATGTCACTTAACAAAAGGTTAAAATGGCAGTTGAAAACAGACATTAAAACAAAATAATCTAGTAGGAGCTATCAACCTAAGTGTGGCGAAAGCTGCTTATAATGGTTCTAACGTAATTGAGAGATGATCTTCAAAATCAGTATGTGTGATTTATTTTGGATAAGCATCATATATTAGGTCATAGAACTTATGTCTTCTCAATATTGTCTTTTTATATATCATATAAAGCCTTTCTGTAATCCACAGGCTGGCTCTCTTCTTTAGATGAAGATGTATCACACTTATTACTGTTAAT